GTGTGTGTGTGTGTGTGTGTGTGTGTGTGTGTGTGTGTGTGTGTGTGGCTTCAGGGGCTGCTGTCAGAGATCCTTCGTAAGGAGGAGGATCCTCGCTCGGCCTCACAGTCGCTGCTGGTCAACCTGAAGGCCATGCAGAGCTTCCTCACCCTGCCGGAGGGCGAGCGGGACCGCATCTACCAGGAGGAGAGAGAGAGGAGCGCCAACTCCACCCACAACCTCTCCACCACCCACATCTCCAACAGCAACCCACTCAGACACGCATTCACAGGACCAGCTCTGCCAGTGAGGGACACTTTGTTTGACTTTATATGTCACATTTTATGTGCTGTTACTTTCTCATCTCATCTCACTCTCTGTGTCCTGCTCGGTGCAGACAAAGTGCAGCATGTCTGCCGCAGAGCTGCCGCTGAAGTCGGACCCGTTGGTCAACATCTCGTCGGGCGTCTATGAGGAGATCCAACAGGAGATGAAGAGGGCGAAGGTCTCCCAGGCTCTGTTCGCCAAGGTGGCCGCCAATAAAAGTCAGGTCAGTCCCACTGAAACATTTGTTGGTGCTTAAAGATGCATTCCTTGGTTGTTACCACAGACTCCTGCATTCAGAGAGGAACTGTCCCGCTGATAACCTTCTTAAGAATGACCTCACGCACATGAACCTCCCGTAAGACATCCGCGTACACATGCACACAGCTTCGAGCTGAGTTGATGATGTTTGAAGGAGTTGATGAGGGTGCAGCGTGCAGGTGTGTGAGTGTGTGTGTGTGGGGATCTGATTACCCGCTGTGGCCTACCATTGCGTCTCCATCCTCAGATAAACAATGCGGGTGATGGAGGGTGAGATCAAAGCAGAGTCTGCACTATAGGGAGGGGGGGAAGACAAAGAGAGGAAGTTTAAATGCCTTTGCTGATTTATTACCAACGCAGACCGAAATGGTTTGAGAGGAAGTGTGTGGAGACACACGAGATGCTAAAAAGTCTGAAATGATAAAGCAGTAAATGGACTGAAATTGATGGAGGGATGAGGCGGGCGACACAGTGGAGAAGGAGGAACAGAAGGATGCACGACGGAGGAAGAGATAGACAAGACGACGGAGGGATGATCGCATTATTACCATTAATTTCCAGGCTGAAGGCTGCGCATAAACAACAGCTGGTGGCAGATCCTGGGTCAGCCTAGCAGAGATAATCTAATCTTCACACACACATACACACTTGCAGACTCGCTGCTCCCCTCCGACTTTGTCCTTCTTTATTTCTGCTCTCAGGGAACAACTTCTATTCTAACACAATGAGTAGTTTATTTATTTAAGAATCTGAATATAAAATACTCCAAAAAAGACAAAAACTGTATCCACAAACAAAATCTGCCACAAAAAGCTCATTTTTTAATCGTCATCTATCCAGAAGAACTCGTCAGAAACGAAAGGACTTTTACAAAAAAAAAGTGAAGTCATGAAATCCTCATACGTTGATTTAAACACCTAAATCTCCTCCAGGGCTGGCTGTGTGAGCTGCTCAGGTGGAAAGAGAGCCCGAGCCCAGAGAACCGCACCCTGTGGGAGAACCTGTGCACCATCAGGAGGTTCCTGGCGTTAACGCAGGCCGATAGAGATCAGGTCTACGAAGAGGAGTCGAGGCAGCAGCACAGCGACAGGCTCCACACCGTCCTGCACATGCCAGAACAGCAGGTACAAACACGCAGCCAGTCGCCCGGGTTAGGCGCTCTGCAGTTTATAGTATGTCACATGTAGCTACAGAGCATTCATTGTAGTTTCTATTTACTTTAAAATCAATCAGGGGAAGTCATCTGTGGTTACTGGGAAGACTAAAAGAGAGAAATCCTGTGTGAAAACACGCTCAACCACGATGCAAGCAAAAGTGTTTTACGCGTGAGAACATGTGAACGCCAGCGTCTGATTTCTTGACGTCTCGTCCCGCCACCTGCTCCTCTCAGCAGCCCTCCTCTTCGTCATATTTGTGTCCCATAAGCCCATGAAAATAGAAGTGGTAGAAGAGCGGCCCACACATTTCCTGCTGAACACTCCTCCATCCCACCCTCTCCCCAAAACCCCAAAATGCTCTCCAGTCTGGCCCTAACCTCAATATTATTCAGGACATTCCCTGTAATTATTGAAGCAGAGAGAAAAAAAGAATTGCCATTATCTTTATTTAGGTCCTTTCATTTTCGATGGACCACAGATTTATGGTGCTGGATTCCTGTGTTTGGGTGTGCTGGTCGCCCCGCCCTGCTAATACGCTGGAGCTGTTTGTGTGTGCATGCCGGTCGGAGACACTTCCGCTTGTTCAATATTTGCCTTAATGAGTCTGCACTGGTTCACTTATTACTAAAGCTTTATGTTGTAATTACACGTCATGAGGCTGTTATAACATCTCTACATCCGCTCGTTGTCTTGAACCCTTAAAGTGTCTTCAATGTTACAGTATCCTTTTACGCTTTTATATGGTCACAAAAGACCTCGTCCTCTACATTAATACCATATTTTAATATTGCAAAATGATACATAACACGGCAAAACGTTCAAAACTTCTTTCCACAAACAGAAATGTAAAATAGATTCTTTTCTCGACAGGCCCTCCACAGACCGCCCCTGCCACCTCTGACCACTCCGTCTCCGATTCGTGAAGACCCACAGCCCATCCAGCTGCTGGTCCTGCACGGCTCAGAAGACGGGCCCCAGCGCGGGCCGAGCCCCGGCCTCGGAGGAGGCGGAGGACCGAAGAAGGCCCGGTCCCGGACGCGTATTTCCCTCGAGGCTCTGGGGACCCTGCAGAGCTTCATCGGCGACGTGGGGCTCTACCCCGACCAGGAGGCCATCCACACCCTGTCGGCCCAGCTGGACCTACCCAAGCACACCATCGTCAAGTTCTTCCAGAACCAGCGCTACAACGTCAAGCACCACAACCAGGTCAGAGAGCCCGTCCCCGGGGAGGACGACCGGGAGAGCTCGAGTCCCAGCGAGGGGGGCGTCTGCACGGCGGAGAGCCGAGGGGAGGAGGGTCTCTCTGCGTCTGAGGAGTCCAGCGAGGACGGGAGAGGATCAGTGGAGGCGTTCAGAACAGAGGGCGGAGAAAGAGATGTGGAGATGGAGAAGGAGAAGGAGGAAGAGGATGATGGGAAAGCCTCGGGGCCGGCGACGTCCTCCCTGTCCCCGTACAGCAGCCTGGACAGCCCCCCCTCTGCAGAGCAGCAGAGATAACAGCAGAGACACAAGAACTGAGGCAAAGGACACCATCAAACTGTGAAGCCGTGAATAAACACACACGCTGTCATCAGCTTCACCACAGCTGATGATCAGAGGAACTGTGGGAAAGTATTTAAGTTTGACTGAGAGGGGATACGGAGGTACTACCACTGCAGTGCGTTCACTTCCCACCAGTGTTTCTGATTTGATGATTAAAAGTTACAGTCGTTGTATAACTACCTCTGCAGCACAATCCACTTCTTTTACTGCTCTGTAAAGTATTACTAAGTGCACACAATCACAACATGGAAGCTGTGTATTTCTCTGTAAAGTATTGAGACGGATTATCTACGGTGGATTATGCTGCAGGAATGGTTTGAGACGTCTCAAATCTTCAGGGGGTTTATGTTTATTTATGTACGATTGGTTTATTATGTTTTTAGAGTTTAATGTTTAGTTTGATACTCAGAGTTTGGCAGAGTTTTCCTCTTGTGAGGCAGGGTTCACATGCTGGCACTAGAGTCAGCGTGGGATTGAATTTGACAAATTTCGGACCAGAAATGGGGTGTAATGTGACTGCTTTTGGGGTGTTTTTTTTTTAGGAGAAAGTCAACTTTTAGGAGCGTTTGACTCCCAAGCCCCACGGATGCCATAAAATGAACAACACTGGAATTGCAGTTTGCCCCAAATATTAGATGCCAACCTTACAGACTCACCCCGACAAAGCTTTTCAGTAAAATCCTCCCAAACATCACAGTTATTTTCTGGTGAGATATCAGAAATAACTGCAAATGTATAAATACAAACTGGCATTGGGCAGTAGTACCTCATGAGACGAGCTTTCAGCTGTGGGGAATAGAGACATGCAGGTCAACAACACTAGAACCTCCACCCAAACATCAGCTGAGCTCCATGTGAAACTCACTGACAGTAAATCACTACCCCCCCACCGATATTTATTACTTATATTTACTAAAGTCTGAGTATTACTGTTGTGATTATAGTTTTGCTTTTATTTTCTTTGATTTGACTTCAAAAGTTTTTGTAAATATGAGAAAAAATGAGGAAGTATGGACTCCGTGTTACACCGTTTAAAAGTATTTTTTTTTTTTTACAGACTGGAAGTTTTCTCGAGGACCTTTATGTACATTGTGATGTAAATGTTGACAATCCACCTGCCAAACTGATCCGTCATGGTATGTGGGACGCTGCCACTGTTTAGTGTGGTTTGAAAACACATTATTTCAGTTTGACAGTCGTCCCTGTGCCGGTGTTCAACCGTTGTTCCTTTGATTCTGTTGTGGGCAGGAAGTGAAGATCTGATAAAAAACGCTTTCCAAAGTATTCTCTGTGTGGAAAGTCTGCCTTTTTAAAAATACTAGATACAGATTTAAGAGATGAAAGAGAGGCTCAACGTTATCATGTGAAAGCGTGCGAGAGACACCGTCATTCCACTCCATCCTCAGCCCTCGCATACCTCGACTCTCACCACCAACTTTATAAAAAGAGCAGCTGTCAAACACACACTGCACAGTCCTCGACCTAACCACAGACGTATGAATGTAAAAACAGCAGCTGTAAAGTGCAGAATGCAAAGTGTACAATGCAATTAGACTCAGATTGGTCTTAATGAATCTCCTATTCAACACATTTTGTAACTCCCGAGACAAAGACGAAGAAGCGCACAGATCTGTGGTGTGGAGGTGATGGTTGATGCTGTGAGTGGACGGTCCTCGGGGATCAATGCAGGCTTTGCTCTCAGCTGTCTGCGGAATGAAGGTGGAGCTGGATGTGGTCTTCCTGACCCCCGTCCGGAGTCCACAATCTGTCGCCCCATCATCTCATGACGGAGGACGAGTGCGACCTCCTGTTATCACCGCTGGCGCTCTAGTGAATGTAGCTGATATATTCATGATAAAGTTTATTGCTACACGTATAATATTTATCCTCTTCGCTCTGGGGATCGTTACGAAGCGATTAATTTACGAGTCGTGGCGAACTCTGTGCAGCTTCTTGTCTACTTCACTTGCCAGGACACCTGATAACAATTTGAAACAGTTCAGCAGCTGCTAACACATGTCGATTAAGTGTTTGGCTTAAAGTGAATACTAATTTACAGACCGGACTAGAAGTAACAGCTCCCAGTGGTCCTGCTTGTTAAAGCCTCCCATGCAGCCTCAATGGGATTAGACCATCACCTCCTCTCAGCCACGGCTCTCACCTTCACACTAACCATCTATCAGGCGTCTGATTAGCAGAGCTCGATAGGGCCGGAAGAGGAGCAGAGTTCAACATGAACTGTGTGAGTGCGGGCTGGAAAACACTGGCTGCAGGTGTTGACCTGACGTGCATCAGATGCTGCAGGTAGTAGCACTTTTCCAGTTTGAGAGCTAATTTCATGGATTTTGCTCCCGTGAACAAACGCGGAGAGTAAACAACTTTTTTGTTTCCTGCTTCACATTACATTAGACGACTCTCAGAGCAGCTGGAGTGGAAACCAGGATGAGAAACAGTCGGCTCTGTTCTGGAAAGTCGTGGAAAAGCAACTGAATTCAACGTTTCACGTTCAGAAGACACATGTACATGAGCGGTGTGTCTTTAAAAACTAGTTTAGTGAAAGAAAATCACAGCTAAAGCATAAAATGTCCTTGTTTAGTGTGTTCATCGTAGTTAACTCACATAATATTACAACTGCATCAGTGAGTGTTGGTACGGTCCACTGGATTTCTGCTAACACAGCTGGCTATTAGAACCGTATGGCAGGCTGATACATGGCCATTAGAGGTGTGTGTGTGTGTGTGTGTGTGTTGTGGGATAGGGACGCAGGTGCTCGGTGCGCTGATATTACCCAGGATGCTCAGGGTGGGGGGGGCGTAGGGGTCGGGAGGGGGGAAGAGGCTCTCTGTGGAGCTCGCAAACACACCTGTGATCCCCTGTTAGCACACACACACACACACACACACACACACACACACTGTGCCCCCAGCCCCTGCGCTGCAGCACGCTAATACACACTCTGATAAACAGGCTAATACTCGCAGCGGCAGCGCTTTACACCCCATTGAACACAACACACGGTAATCAGTGAAGCCATCTCGTGGCACTGTGTGTGATGTTTGGGAGAATTCTGTGTGTGTGTGTGTGTGTGTGTGCATTGCAATGCCATGTATGCACAGAAAAGTACAGCGAGGCATTGCAACCTCATTAGGGAATGTTGTGTGTGTGTATAACAGAAGGGGCAAACCTAAGCATTTATTTTTTTTACATTCTTGGTTTTACTTTTGTACTTTTTCCCAACTTTCTAGTCCTCGGCTTCATTGCTAATATTTTGGGATGTGACTGTTCTGTTACACAACTTCATCAACCGAGTGCAAAGGACAACCACACGAACATGTTTTTAACACTTTAATGTTTCCAAACCACTGATTTAGAAGTGACAACAAAGGAGGGTTTTAAATCTAAAGTATCTAAAGTTAAAGTTATCACCTTGTCTGCTTTAAGCATTATAAGCAGGACTTCCTGGTTCAACGCTGACCCACCATACTGGCTCTACAATGCAATGCAAGATGTTCTCCTTTGTTTTTACTTCTACATACTATGAAGTGGTTTAGGCTGAACAAGTTGGTCCTTTTTTAAAACTGTGTCCAGCAATGCAACTAACATCATCCCCGAAACATTGACTCTGAAATAAAAGTACTGACTGAGTAGAAGGTAACTGGTTTGAAAAAACTGCAAAACCGATGAAATACTAGACATTTAGTTGTAATTAAAAATATTAATGAAAAAACACTCAACACACAACTTTTGGTCCACACACACACACACACACACACACATATGGTGAAAACACCCTTAAAACACCCAAAGATGAAACGAGTCAGAAAACGACCACATCACATCTCCTTAAAAAACAAACATTTCATTATGGCGGCTCTGGTGCATTAGTGGCCGACCAGCAGGTTTTGATGTGCGCCTCTAAATCACGTTACATTGAGCCAGTAACATTTTTACGCCCCCCAAAAAAAGACATTTCAAAGCAAAACCCTCCAAGAGAAAATTGAAAAACAATCAAAGACTAATAAGGCTTCTGAAAAAGTCTGGAATCTGATGATTTAGTGTTCCGTTTATTAAAGCAGTAAAAAGTTATATTTGTTGTTAATATATATACAAACTAAAGTGACTGTATGAACAGCAGCGTCGTACCTCTTAATGCCTCCCTGAGCTTTGAACACGCGGCTCCGGCCTACTGACGAGCTTATCATGAGAGTCAATGAGCTATTAGTTCTGTGATTACATAAGGCAGCCGTGGCTTAATTCACGCTCGGTAAATAATTGTGTCATTGCACAGTGAGTTCGCTTCACCAGCCCTGGATTTCACAGCATATCCACCAGTGCTGAAATCCAACAGAATCATCTTATAGAAAAAGTCCAACAACTTTCACATTTAAAAACAATGGGAAATATCGGTAGCACCGCCACCCAACTTTCTTTAATTTCATTGTTTTGAAATCTTATGCAGCGTGCTGTATAAGAAATAGAATAACTTGTAAACTGATGCAATCTTAAACCTATGTGTCCTTTGCCACTAACAGCTAAAGCTGTTTTTAACTGTTTAAACAAAGTTTAGGCTTTGGGACGCAACACCTTTAATATTATTAGTTGATAAAGAAGAGTGAGAAATTACAAATAGCTTTTGAAACAGAGTCTGAGATCACTTCTACAGTGTGCAATCGAGCCAAATGCATCGTATCCATGACATAGAAGGTGGATAAGTGACCACAGGTGAACTCTTTAACTCTTTAAGCAGGTCTGTGTAACCTCAGTGGAGGCCCAGCGGAGCCGTCGAGGAAGCACAGCTGGCCCGGGTGGCTGTGGGCTCTCGGCACCAGCTGCAGACTCTTGTGCAGAAAGAGCCACCAGGTGTCGGGGATTTCACGCTCCTTCCCTCCTCACGCTGGTTCCCACTGCAGCCTGCTGAACCGTTACCGGGTTGGATTAACACCGGCTGTTCCTCCACGGTGCCCCGCCATTGGGCCCGCTGCACGGCGGCGCTCCTCACTGCTTTTGTCGACTGGCTCCCCGGCTCCCTCACACAAGACAGAGCAAAAGTATGTTTGGATTTATTTTCAAGTTTACTTGGAGTCGCTATTGTTTTGTAACCTTGTAAGCTGTTTGCTGACCGGTCGACCGCGGCTGTTTCCACTCTCTGAGCACTGTTGTCAAGTTATGTAAAATGCTTCTTCTTCCCATTTAATCAGGGATAACAAAGTGAAGGTATTAAATCATAACTACCAGAAGTACAAGTGCACGCGGAGAGTTTCCAAAAGTGACAAACAGGTGTGTTGACCTGTGATTCCTCCTTGTGTCATGCTACACCCTTCCACCAAGTTTCATGAAAATTGGCTCAGTAGTTTCTCTATAATCCTGCTGACAAACAAACCAAGAACCAGGAACTCAAAAAAGCACATTTACCAAAATGTCAAACCTTCTTTAAGTAGTTGCGCGTGTGTGTGTGTATTTTGCGATATGAGTGCTGTGGAGACAGACTTTTCTCTCTCCTAATATGCCTTTTTGTTGTTGCTTTTTCTTACTCTCCTTCCCTCCCTCCTTCTTTCACTATTTCCTCCTTCCTTCCTCCCTTCCTCTCCTCTGTCTATCCGATATCTAACGACGAGTGTTTGAAGCTTAACTGGGATGTAAACAGAGAGAGGAGGTCTTCAGAGTAGTAATCGCATATGCACACAAATCAATGCACACAGATGCATGCACACACACAAACACACACAGATGCATGCACACACACAAGCCTTCAGACGGGCAGCACAAACTTGCAGCCTGCTAACAATTACAACAATTAGTGGTTCGGCTTTTGCCAGCCAGCCACACACTGCCTGTTTATGATGTGATCGAACACAAATGTCATAACAGTGAAGCTTTGAGACAAACATGCTGCATTATCAACATGATGCCTGAGAGTCAGTTAACTACAGCAAAGAGGGAGAGTTGGTGCAGCAGATATGCAACGGAGGACAGAGGAAGTCTGCATATGTACTGAATCATCTGCAAGTCACTTCGAG